AGATAAACCACGCTTTCAGAGGAGTCTAATTCTCACCTGGATTCCTGCTCGTTTACCTCTTTTCCTCCAACGTTTTCCCGGGACCGGACAAACATAGCTGGAGGTGCGTAGCTCGTGATCATCGTTTGGCTCCGGGCCAGTGCGCCGCTCAGGTAAACAAACACGATGGTACGTCCTCGGAGCATCTTGGGCTATAGTGAACGAACGGAAGGACAAAAGAGTCTGGCGATCATAGGAGATGGTAGCAGGGACACTACTGAAGAGGATCGCAGACAGGAGCAAGGTGGAAAAGAGGAGGTTAGTGGAGAAAAGTTTGAAAAAGTGGCCGGTGACCGCGGCTAAGCCAAGCACAGGCGCCATCTTGTTGCCGACCGGAAGCGGAACTCAGGCAGTTAGTTCAGGCAAAGAAACAGGAGCAAAGCTATCTAGGATGATGGGCCGGGTTGGAGTTGGGAGAGGCAGAGAAGGCTGAGGGAGAGATGTTAGATCTAACCATATTGACTTTGTCCAAAAAGAAAGACAGAAAGTTTTCACAGTCTGCAACAGAGTGGATGGAGGCTGTAGGAGAGGCAGGACAAACAATGCTGCTGATGGTGTTAAACAACACTTAGAGATTCCTTTGCTCTGGGACACCAGGTTGGAATAATAGGACACCCTTGTGTCTCTGAATGCAGAGTTAAAGGATGTCAGAAGATCCTTTAGATGCAGCAGATGAACGTAGAGAAGGGTTTTCTTACACAAGCACTCAATTTTTCTGCATTTGCGCTTCAGGCTGCGAATGCCATTAAACCAGTGAGTAGGGTTCACTGCAGGAACTGATCTGGTTCTGACAGAACACATGTTGTCCAGAAAGGAGAGGCAGTGCTTGTTAAATTGAAAAGTTAAGACATCTGGTTCATTAACAAAAGAACAGGGTGGATTAAAATCAGCAGAAAATTGCTAGCTGTGCTCTCATTAAGAAAACAATAACTAACCAGATGGTGAGCAGGAGGGGGAGACACAGAAACTGACAAGTTAAAGAAAATGCAATGGTGATCTGAAATATGAACGTCCTCAGAACGAACACTGTCAGCATTTAGACTCAGTGTAAAAACAAGGACTAGAGTGTGCCCCCTGGTGTGTGTGGGGCCAGAAACATGCTGGGTAAAGCCGAAGGAGTCCATGAGGCTGGAGAAGCAAAGTGGTCCAAGGGGTCATCAATGTGGTTGTTAAAGTCACCAACAATCACCAGTCTGGACAGCTTCACAGTGGAGGATTAAAAGTCACTAAACTTCTGAAGGAAAGAACTGTTTGAACAAGGTGGGTGATAAATCACAGCACAGTAGATCGGGTCCTTATCAGGACTTTAATTAGCTGCAGTTCAAAGGAAAGTGACCAGAGGTTGTAGAGCTACAAGGAAGATGATCTTTAAAAACAATAGCTAGGCCTCCACCACACCTAGAACTCCAGGGCGGGCTAAGGAATGAGTAAGAGTTCAGTCAGACCAGAATAATGAGATGTTTGCTGGTAAATTTCAGTCAGAAACAGAAAATCTAGGTCTTTAGAGGTTTAGAGTTTTTTTTATTTGTGTGCAGAATGGCGTAAAAGGCATCCCTGTGATCAGACACAGACAGACAGACAGACAATACCTTTATTAGTCCCACACGTGGGAAATTTCATAGTTGCAGCATAGAGGACGGTACAGTCAGAAAAACAGGTAAGACAAAAAACATAATTTGATCAAAACAGTAATATTTAAGAATATAAAAACTAACAAAATAAAACCACAATCTTCCTCATTTCAACTGCGAGCTGCAATGGCCTCATTATAAAATCTAACCGCTGCTGGGAGAAATGATCTTCTGAACCTTTCCCTCACGCAGCGTGGATGCAGCAACCTATTCAGTGCTGCGAGAGTCCGGTGCATGGGGTGGGAGATGTTATCCATCAGAGAAGATAGCTTGGCCACCATTCTCCGCTCAGTCACCACCTCCACTGGGTCCAGAGGGGCTCCAAGAACGGAACTGGCCCTCTGGATCAGTCTGTTCAGCCTTTTTCTGTCCCTAGCTGAGATGCTGCTACCACAGCCAACCATGCCGTTAAAAAATTGCTGAGGCCACAACAGCATTGTAAAAGGTCTTGAGTAGTGGACCCTGGAATCCAAAAGACCTAATCCTCTGCAGCAGGTACAGCCTGCTCTGCCCTTTTTTGTAGAGAGCTGCTGTGTTATCTGACCAGTCCAGTTTATTATTTAAATGAACACCAAGGTACTTGTAGGTCTCAACAACTTCAATATCCATTCCTTGGATGTTCAGTGGATGTACTGGAGGGCGCCTTTGCCTGCGAAAATCTACCACCAGCTCTTTGGTTTTTCCAGTGTTGATCTGGAGGTAGTTTTGCTTACACCAATCCACAAAGACCTGAGTCAGCTCCCTGTACTCTTTGTCATCCCCGTCAGTAATGAGGTCGACTATTGCTGAGTCGTCAGGGAACTTTTGGAGGAAACAACTTGTAGAGTTATAGGAAAAATCTGCAGTGTAGATGGTAAACAAAAATGGTGCCAAAACTGTTCCCTGTGGGGCACCAGTATTGCAAATAATTCTGTCCAACACACAGCCCAGAGTCCTCACATACTGTGTTCTATTCGTGAGGTAGTCAAAGTTCCATGACTTGAGGTGCTGCTCCACTCCCAAATGTTCCAGCTTGTCCCTCAGAATCTCTGGTTGGATAGTATTAAAGGCACTTGAGAAATCAAAAAACATGATCCTCACAGTAGTTCCCTTGCCATTGAGGTGGAAAAGGGAGCGATTCAGAAGATGGATAATTGCATCCTTCACCCCAATGCCAGGCTGGTATGCAAACTGCAGTGGATCCCAGGATGATCTCACCTGAGGCCTAAGCTGCGTGAGGACCAGCCGCTCCAAAGTCTTGATTAGGTGGGAAGTCAGAGCCACCGGCCTGTAATAATTTAGATCTTTTGGGTGTGGCTTTTTTGGCACAGGTACCACACATGAGGTCTTCCAAATTTCTGGTACCTTGCCCAGCCTTAGACTCAGGTTGAAGATGTATGCCAACACCCCACACAGCTGGTCCGCACAGAGCCCAACAACCCTTGAGTTGATGCCATCCGGACCTGCTGCCTTCCTGGTGTTAATCCTCTTCAGCTCCAACCTGACCTGTGTAGCTGAAACCAGCAGGGTGGAGCCGCGTTCTGAAGGAGCATCAGCTATTGCTGTTCCAGATGGTGGGTACTGCGTTGGAGGGGGCTGTACAGATGGAGTGACTGAAGCTGAACAATCAACAATCTTTTCCTTGTGGCCAGAGATGTTCCTCAGGCTTCTCCAAACTCCCCTCACATCGCTCTGCTGAAGTTAATCCTTCATCCTCCGCCTGTAGTTGTTTTTTTCCCTCTCTGATCAGTTTCCTCAGCTCTGTTTGCACCCTTTTCAGCTCCTCTCTATCACCCGATTTGAATGCCCTCTTTTTTTCCTTAAGGACTGTTTTTATCCGTGGAGTAATCCATGATTTATTGTTTGAGAAAACATGTACAGTTTTAATTGGTATAGTGTTTTCTACACAAAAAGTAATATAGGCCGTAATACAAGTCACCAGGCTGTCACAGGGATGTGTTGGTTGATTTTGTGTGATGACACAAAGCAAGTTTGGTGCAGTTGTGACCTTCTCTGCAGGGCTTATTACAGTTCTAAAAGGTACACTTAAAATGCTTTACTTTGAACCAACTTAAAATCCATCCAATTTTTTACAGCTAACCTTTTTAGTTTCGATGAAATTATCATTCTAATTTGACTGAAACTGTTTATTTTTTATTTAAATTTAGCTAAACTAATTTATTCTTACAGAATCATACAAACAAACAAAAAATTGTTTCAAAGATTATGAACTTATTTTTACTTTAGTTCAATTTTATTTTTTTACTCTAGTACAATTTCTTTTTTACTTTAGTTTAACTTCATATTTCATTCCATTTCTGACATCGGTTACACCTGATGGTTTGTTTAAGTTGAAAGTACAATTGTCCTTTAGACTAAATTAACTGTAACACTCTAGTTTGTAACACTTGGTTTTGTGTTAGAGTTACTATATTAACTACAACACCAGTGTTGAATATCAAACTCCAGAGGAAATGGTTTTTGACACTAAATCAGAGGTAAAGTACCAACTCTCCAGAGAGTTATAATACTGGGTCACTTGTGTTGTCATACATCTTGTGGATTTGAAAAAGAGTGAGAGAGGAACGCAAGGACTGAAAAGGTGACACAATACAATAAATAACTAAAGCATAAAATAATTTTATAAATGTATCATTAAATATGTTAAATATTTAATCACATGAACCCTGAGTAAAAATATTAATTTAAATTATATTTCATGGTTTGTTCATCATGATTTTGTTATATCTGTGAACCTTGCCCATCAAAATCAGTAAGCAAAGCTCAGGTTGACGACAACCATGGCAGCTTATATGTTAGAGGATTTTTATTGACTTGGTTAGAGATGTTTATCAGAATTAGTTCCATCCACTGACTTTAATGGATGAGGTTGACAGAAAAAATAAAATAGATGAACAGACCATGAAATAGTTAATTAAATGATAAAACAATCATATATGATTTTTATTAATGATTATTAATAATTATTTTTATTGACAAAATCCATGAATTTTATAGTGAAATAATTATTTAATAATAATATTTTGGGCTTTATCTATTTTTTGAATTGAGCCACTTACTAATTGCCCATCCCATCTGAGCAATCACGCACGATTTTTGAGACGATCGTACAAAACATGACCGAGTAGTTCAATCAAATGCAAACCCTACAAATGGCTAAATTGGGATCAAAATCGCTGTTTTGATTACAGTCTTAAAATCATAAAACCACTGAAGAATTAAAATAACCTGAAACATGATCCCATACATGTCAGCTTTGTGCATGAGGGAAGAATGAGGTATTTTTTTGTATTATATTCTTGTCACCAACTCAATGGCAGTAGTTTGTACCTGACAGGAGCATGATGAGAACGGCTGCAAAGATATCTGGGTAAGGTGCCAGGCCAGGTAAGTTCATGGCTGCATTATCTTCAAAGAACTTTGATATGACACCTCCAATGAGTTCGTCAAATGTCCCACTCCAGGCCACTGCAACACTGGATGTTCCTGACCAGAAACAGGCAATAAAAGGATGAGTGTGATGCAGCATTTTACTGCATTCATAAACAGAAAATATAGACAAGAATGTTTCCCTTCCATTGTGTCTTTATGTCTCATTTTTTCCCCCCAAAAAAGATTTGAATTGTTGTAGCTAAAAAAATGAAGGAAGTAAAAACAGATACAGATGTGAACAAAATTGTTGGCACCCTTCTGTCAATGAAAGAAAATCCCACAATGGTTACAGAAATAACTTGAATCTGACACATGTAATAAAGAAAAATTCTATGAAATGTAACCAATGAAAGTCAGACATTGCTTTTCAACTACGCTTCAACATATTTTACCTCTCCACTGTCCTATCAGGTGACCCCTTCAGGCCAGGGGGTGGTTAAAAATAGTTGATCCCTTGGCAAGGGTGAAGTGGTGTGCTCTTAAAAAATAAAAATAAAAAAAAAGCACCTGGGGCCCATGTGATCACATTAACAATGTGGGAGGGTTAAAAAAGTAAAGTCATGAAATAAGCCTGGACTAAAATGATGGTACCCCAACTTAATAGTTTGTAGCACAACCTTTTAGACAATCATTGCAACCAAGCGATTCTTGTAGTTGTTAATGAGACTTTTGCACATCTCAGTAGGTATTTTGGCCCACTCCTCATGAGCAAACTGCTTCTGTTATCTCAGGCTGAATGACACCTTTTCCAGATAGTATTTTTCAGCCATTTGCTAACGTTTCGGCTAATTACTGTAGTCATCCTTAGAACTGCCGATGTTGGTGACGTCGTTTCCTTCTCGTTTTATCAGCAGGCAGCAGAGGGCGATATCGTCGTCTGCTGCCCTCTTTTTCTGTGTTCAACCGATTACAGATGAAGGGGAAAAAGCAGAATTTAGAAAAAATGTAGTTGGGATACTAAAAAACAGCAACCCTACAAACGAAAAAAGAACAGCCAAAAAAGGAAAAACATGAAAAAGAAATTACTGAAACCACTACAAGAAAAAGGCTGAATAACAGAAAATGTACAAACACTGGATTCCAACAGCAAGCACAATCCCAAGAATATATGGTACCCCAAAAATACACAAGCAGAACACCCCACTAAGACCAATGGTAGAAAGAATAGGTCAGGGCTATTCAATTCAGGGCCTCAAGGGCCAGTATCCAGCATGTTTGAGTGGTTTTTCAGATCCAACACACTAGATTCAGTGGTTGAATCACCTGTGCAGCAGCTCATCAGGCTCTGCAGAAGCCTGTTAATCACCTGCTGATTGAAATCAGGTGTGTTGAAACAGAGTTAAAACCAAAATGTGATGGATACCGGTCCTCGAGGCCCAGAACTGAATAGCCCTGGCATAGGTACACCGACATACAATATAGCAAAATAAATCAGCAAAACTGGCAAAAGAACTAAAAAAAGATTATAATAGAAGACAATGACATACTAATTTCACATGATGTTAGATCAATGTTCACAAAAAAACCAACCCAAAAAGCCATTAACATAGTGGTTAACAGAATCAGACCTGACAAAACTTTACACAAAAGAAAAAACCTCATAACACACAACATAGCAGAACTGGTACAACTGATAGCAAACTTCACATACGTCAGAACAATATACAAACAACTGAAAGGCTTTGCCATGGGTAACCCGTTATCAGCCACCCTTTGCGAGTTTTTCATGGAGAACGTAGAACACAAAGCCATAGCCACTGCCCCCAGGGACCAAGGAGTTTACACCCTGGACCACTCCTTGGACACGGTGATCAGCAGAGAAGGCACGAGCATCAGAGGGTGATATCCTCCTCTACTGCCCGAATAAAAGGAAGTGACGCCGCCAATATCCAGCGGTTGCTCCGACAAAAGTGGTAGTGAAACGTCGAAACATGTCAGCAAAGTTAAGGACAAGCCCTTATAACTTATAACAGTACAAAAGTAACGAAGATGAACAACATAAACACACATAAAAAAAAGACTAGTACAGCCAAAAGACAAGATGTCAACAGGACAAGAATGTGTATTCATATACAAAATACCATGCAAATTCTGCAATAAAACTTACATAAGTGAAACCGGATGTCAACTCAACTGACGAACAATAGAACATAGAACGGAGTGTGCGGCAGAAACAAACCAAGGCCACACAAGGGCAGCGAAACAAGAAGCAGAAAGTACAATAAAGAAATAAGCCGTAACAGACCACTGCACAAGAGAAAATCATAAAGGATTGGGATAAAACAAGGATCATAATCACCGAACAACAAATTTTTATTTATTTTTTTTTAACCGTGTCCTGTCTGGCTGTGAAGCAAACAGAATTGATGTCTGAATGCTGGTAACAAGCCTTACAGATTTACTCTCAGGTGGAGCATTAAAGCGTCTGCTTCTAATGTCACGCCTGATACTTAAAACTTTATTGTTATTGTTTTTGAATGCTTTGTAATTCCGACCAGACACAGAGTCAGAGGTGAAAGAGAAATGAAAAGACAAAAGGTGGGGAGAGAGGGGGGAAGGGTACAAGAGTCTGCTTCTAGACCTGCAGAAAAAGAAAGAGCAGGAAAAAATGGGACACACAACAATACATCAAGATCAAGCTATCACTGTGTCAATGTGATGATGAAATATAAAATCAACATTGTTTAACCGAACAATCACACGATAATAAATCATAGTGCATTCAGTGGCAACCACAGCCTTAAAACATGTGTTGATCATCCCCAAGCCCATACTTATGAGAGCACCATGTGAGCACCTGTGTGTGTACACGCGCTTGTTTATGTAAGGTTTCTCTATAGGAGCATCCAATAGAGAGTGTTAGGGACCACAGACCTGCCCCCCAAAGATGTGTAGGAGACGGGGGGAGCTCCAAGTCCCAGAGATCCAGGCGCTACCCCAGAACACATGAACCCCAAGGAGACTGCAACCAGAAAGGCCCCTGCTCCCCTCGAGAGGCACAGAGGATCGCCCCGGGGGGGCACAACCAGCAGCCGGCAGAGTCCCGGGAGACATCAGCGGAGAGCCTACAGGCCCGCCCGCAGCCTCCCAACCCCTAGCCGGCCGAGCCCGGGACCCAGGGGCGACCACCCCCACCGGGGACCCAGCAGAGCCCAGGGACCCAGACCCCACCAGGCAGCCACCGGGATTGACCAGGCAGGCGCCAAAAATCTTAAACCCCCTGACCCGGGAGCCAAGAACACTCAGGCAGACCAAGGCACCGTACCCCACACCAGGTGTGGCAGGGAGAGGGGAGACGAAGATCTATATCATCAAAAGAAGTCCCAGGAGAAGGGAGGAGTCAAAGGCCCCACCTGACATATACAGTCATACACAAACACAGTCACACACTCCCTCCCTCATGCTCACACATGCACATACAACCAAAGACTTACAAAAATGCACGCCGGACATCCACTCATGCTCCCCATACACACCCTATTCACTCTGGTCCCGGTACTGCTGTACATGGGGTACAACCATCACCGGTTACCAGATTTTGACCCTTTCTGCTGGGGTGCTGATGAGCAGGCTCCCCCGCCCAACGCTGAGCACAGCAACCCACCACCCCAGACCCCAACCAGACGGCCAGATCTCCCTCCTAGCCTCCAGCCCCAGGAAGCCAAGCAACAACAGAGGTGTGCAAAGACCCCTAGTCTCCCTCCGCCTGCTCCAATATAGTGTTGTTGTGTGTTGATGAGGTGTATTCCATGGCTGTGGTGAGCGGGCAGTGCGGGCACACACTTAGGGCCTTGGGAGTGAGCACATTCAACGGCACTTGGCAGGGGGATTTCTCGGCCTCCTCACGAATGCCGGTGCCCACTTCCAATTTTAAACTGCACTTAGACACCGAGGGCTGTGGGTGCAAGTGGGGTGGTGCGGTGGCATCCGCTGGCATAGGCCTGACAATGCCAGCACTGGCCGCTCACCACAGCCATGGAATACACCTCATAAACACCGAACAACAAAAATATAAAAGGTGGATTAAAGAAGCAATACAAAAAAAAAAGAGACGTGGACATTGAACCACGAAGACACGATGGCACACACCTTGTCAGCAAACAACACAGTCACTACCTCGAGCCCTATATATGACCCGCACTTGTATAGCGCCTCTTAGAGTAAGGACTCCAAAGCGTTTTACACTACAGTGTATCATTCATCCATTCACACACACACATTCATACACTGATGGTGATGAGCTACGATGTAGCTACAGCTGCCCTGGAGCGCACTGACAGAGGCGAGGCCACCGGTCCCTCCGACCACCACCAGCAGGCAAGGTGGGTTAAGTGTCTTGCCCAAAGACTCAACAGCAGAATTCTCTGTCGGTAGCCGGGATCGAACCTGCAACCTTCCGATTACTGGACAACCGGCTCAACCTGTTGAGCTACTGCTGCCCCCGAGGCCTATATATACAGGCCTATATATGGTAAATGGCCTGTATTTGATATAGCGCCTTCTAGAGTCCTGGAACCCCTCAAGGCGCTTTACAACACAATCAGTCATTCACCCATTCACACACACATTCACACACTGATGGGGATGAGCTACAATGTAGCCACAGCTGCCCTGGGGCGCACTGACAGAGGCGAGGCTGCCGAGCACTGGCGCCACCGGTCCCTCTGACCACCACCAGCAGGCAATGTGGGTTAAGTGTCTTGCCCAAGGACACAACGACAGTGACAGACTGAGCGGGGCTCGAATCTGCAACCTTCCGATTACAGGGCGAGCTCTTAACTCCTGTGCCACCGTCGCCCCAAACATATATATAGGCCCACTAACTGATTACAATATTGTAGACATCTGTGATGCTAATTAGTAGACACACCTTGAATTAACATGTCCCTTTGATCACATTATTTTCCACTTTTCCTAGGAGTACCATATTTGCGTGTAGGCCTGTTCCATGAACAAATTTTTTAAAATAATTGACGCATGATTAAAAAGCAATGTCTGATTTTCATTGGTTAAATTTCATAGAATTTTTATTTATTATTACTTTTGTTAGATTCAAGTTTCAAGTTAGATTCTGTGACTATTGTGGGTTTTTCTTTCATTGACTGAAGGGCACCAACAATTTAATCCATGTCTGTTACTGCTTTTAGAAGTAAAGACCGATATTTTTGCTATTTTCATTAGGAGATGGCAGTCAAAAAAAGTTTGGTGATTTTGATCAAACTGGCTGTTAACTGTTTTTGTAAATCAGAATCAGAAATCAACTGTTCAGTTTCAAATCCTGCTTCCAAAACAGGGTGAAGTTCAGAGAACCTTTGTTGATCATTGATGAGTTCCAGTGTCCTCTGTCATCTGATAATATCACTTTAAAAGACCCATCAGCTGTTTTTAAAGTTAAGAAAAGAGATTATCCCAAATGTAAACCATTGATTATTAAAGACAAACGTGACAAGAATGAATGAATAAAACATTAGTAATGTATTAATAACATCAACAAATCAAGTTTATCATGCTTGCCTATGACGTAGGAGAGCAGCAGATTCCAGCCGGTGATGAAAGCCAGCAGTTCTCCAACAGTCACATAGCTGTAAAGGTAAGCTGAACCTGTTTTAGGAACTCTGGATCCAAACTCTGCATAGCACAGTCCAGCAAATATAGATGCCAGGGCTGCGATAAAGAAGGAAATGATGATGCTGGGTCCAGCAGAGTCTCTGGCCACTTCTCCGGAGAGGACGTAGACCCCAGCACCCAAGGTGCTGCCCACTCCAAGGGCCACCAGGTCCAGGGTGGTTAGGCATCGGTTAAAGGTGGACGACTCCCCGTCGGGCTCAATAGGCTTCCTCTGAGACAGGCTGACCAGAAGAGACTTGATCGCACCACACCCCATGGTTTTAAAGGTTTTGGATCAGGATGGAGAATTGACTTGAAGACTAAATAAAAAGTAAAAAATGGAAACGAAGTTGGATTTTAAGACAGAGTTCAAGAAACAGAAAGGGGAGAGAAGAGGATGGGTCAATGAATGGTTGTGAGACCAGCTCAAAAAGAGGAGTATTTTGTCCGTAAAGTACATGTTTCTCAGTGCTTAATTTTAATTTCATACCTAAAAAAGACACATTTACTAAAACATCCAAAGATTGAACCAATTAATGAAACAAATAAGACATCTGAAAATGCCTTTCAGTGGTTTTAATGTGGGAAAAAAATTTTCTCTAATATTTTACAGGTTACATCTAGTTATTTTATATATATATATATATATATATATATATATATATATATATATATATATATATATGTATATGTATATAACATTTAACTTACATTTTTGTAGCTTTCTGCCTGTCAGGTGTGCTAAGGAGTCGGGGTAGGATCCACTTTCTCGTATACGTTTTCTTTGATAGGTTCCCTCCTTTATCTACCTATGATATGATAGTGCTGATGCCTGGGGTTTCCGTTGCAGGCTAGAAAAACCACGCCCCACTTGAAAACTGCACTTTACTCAGCTGTTGGTTTCATGCACTGCACTTCCTGCAGAAACAATATAACTTACTTTGTCATTTTCAAAGTGTGCTTACCTCAGCGCTGCACTGCCCTTCGTTCATGCAGGGTCAGGGTTACGCCTGATAAAACACTGCCCCACAAGAAATAAAAATCTGTAAATAAAATGCTCTCAGAGAAATAAATAGGACTATTATGACATACTTTATTTGCTTTCTGAAGATAACAACTTCCCAGCAGATAAGATTCACGAGCCTGCTGTAAATGAACATGTCTGCTGCTCATTTATATGGAAATTAACAGTGATGTAGTGCATTCCGAGAAGGGTAAACTGTATCCACGAGAGGAGGCTGGATTGAGCATGACTATTATGGTGTCAGTGAGACATGTGGCTTTGATAACTTTAAACGATAAGATTATCCAGCACTTCAAGGTCCATGTTTCTCTGTGAGTTCATTGTTTGTTTCCTCACTAAAAACACATCCTAAAGAGGCAAAAGCAGAAACATTTATCAAAACTGATTTACTTTGATTAATTATCTGAAACCATGTCTCTGAGTTCACTCTGTTCCTTGTCATTTGGGATGTTTCCATCCAAAGGTGTGAGCATGCCAGATGACTTTTAGCCCTGACAAGTTGGTGAAACAGATGGACAAAGCAGCTTTCATGGCTCATGTGCACATTGGGCTGCTCGCCTGCTCTTTGAGAGGTGGCATTCACCTTCTCATCTCCCAATTATAGGATTTCATCTCATTTAATCCCTCCTGGCATCTACTGCAGCATGCAAGTATGTGAAGAATCTGTGCTAACAGTCAAAGTTCCCAAATCTCCACTCTGACCGGATCTCTTTGCATGAGACACGATGGAGGTGGGGAATGATTAACTAAATAACAGCAACTACACATACTTTTCAGTTTTATGATCATGATCCGGTTTAACCTTTGCAAATACTCTTTGTAATGTTTAATGCAATCTATTTTGCATTAGACGCATGTCAGATGCAACGCTGGATGAATACAAAAAGGGCTGATGCAGAGGTCACAGATTTAAAATTGACTTTTCTTAAGCAGATAAACAAACTATTTACCTTTGTCTTCAGTTCAGTGAGGAGCAAGTGATGACTGAAACCATGAAAAGCAGAGAAATCCATCCCGATGGTTTGGATGAAGAAAACTTGTAGCGATAAATATGAGATGGGCCCTTGAGACCCTCCCACTCAGGGGAATTACTCACAAAGTCACCTTTTTCAGCTGGGATCCCGATGCGCTCATTAATAAACAGAGGGTGAGAACCATCAACTTTAAATCCCACTCAGAAATGTCAAAAAATAATACTTTGTGGCTGAATTGAGAACAAGTATCTGTAAATGCTTTGTTCTCTTGTTACATTTATGGATTGCTCAAACAGATCAGTGTTTCAGGGAACAGGAGATCGTACACAGCAAGAAGAAAGAACAAAAACTATTTTCACTTTAACGAAACAAAATCACCAGAATCACAACATCCTTTTAAACTTTACATAGCTGTGTGTGTGTGTGTGTGTGTGTGTGTGTGTGTGTGTGTGTGTGTGTGTGTGTGTGTGTGTGTGTGTGTGTGTGTGTGTTACCGGTCCCAAGAATGGCACCACAGAAACAAAGTTTGCATCTGCGAGATATGAGGAAATGTCAGCAGCAATGACAGACACCAGTGCATTGTTTCATGTCCATATTGTCACGCACTGAACTCTGAAGACCCGTGAAGACGCCAAACACAGTAAAAATATATTAAAAAGTCTTTATTGAAGGCAGAGGTACCTGGAGGGCAAGGCTGAGGCAGGTTCAGAGACAGACAAGGTCCAAATGGGAGGAAGTGAGCAAGGCAGGGGTCAGGAGAAAAACGAGGTCTGGAGGCTGAGATCAGGCAGGGTGGATGGCTGGAGAATTACTGGCAGGGCTGTAATAATCTGGCATCTGTTGACTGGATGGCTGGTTCTTTTATAGCAGGGGAAGCAGGTGTATGGGATGAGGCTCATTACAGGAGCAGGTGGAATGAATGGAGCTGATTGAAGCTGACAGAGGTTGCTGGGGAAAACGGGGCTTGGCTGGAGCTTGGTGAGAGGACAAGGTGAGCTGAATGAGGAGGAAATGATAAGGCAGATGAGGGTAAAGGATGGGAGTCATGGCAGAACCCCCCCCCCCCCCTCAAGGGCGGATACCAGACGCCCACAGGAAACCAGAGCAGGGCGGGAGGAGGGGGACCAGGAAGGAGGGCCAGAGCAGGGCGGGAGGAGGGGGACCAGGAAGGAGGGCCAGAATAGTCTGTGGGGCCGGCAATGGGGAACCGGGAGCCGGGACTGTGAGAGTCTGGGGGGCCGGCGACGGGGAACCAGGAGCCTGGACTGTGAGAGTCTGGGGGGCCGGCGACGGGGAACCAGGAGCCTGGACTGTGAGAGTCTGGGGGGCCGGCGACGCGGAACCAGGAGCCGGGACTGTAGGAGTTGTGGTGATAGAGGACACTGGTGGACGAGGACTAAGAGGGGACTCTGGACCAAGACTAAGACTTAGAGGGGAAACTGGACTACTACTAAGAGGGGACTCTGGACCAAGACTACGACTTAGAGGGGAAACTGGACTACTATTAAGAGGGGACTCTGGACCAAGACTAAGACTAAGAGGGGAAACTGGACTACTATTAAGAGGGGACTCTGGACCAAGACTAAGACTAAGAGGGGAAACTGGACCAAGACTAAGAGGGGAAACTGGCCCAAGACTAAGAGGGGAAACTGGACCAAGACTAAGAGGGGAAACTGGACCAAGACTAAGAGGGGAAACTGGACCATGACTAAGAGGGGAAACTGGACCATGACTAAGAGGGGAAACTGGACCATGACTAAGAGGGGAAACTGGACCATGACTAAGAGGGGACACTGGACCAAGACTAAGAGGGGACACTGGACCAAGACTAAGAGGGGACACTGGACCAAGACTAAAAGGGGACACTGGAGGAGGACAACTAAGAGGGGACACTAGAGGAGGACAACTAAGAGGGGACACTAGAGGAGGACAACTAAGAGGGGACACTAGAGGAGGACGACTAAGAGGGGACACTAGAGGAGGACGACTAAGAGGGGACACTAGAGGAAGACGACTAAGAGGGGACACTAGAGGAAGACGACTAAGAGGGGACACAGACTCTGGAACTTGAGACTGGGGAACTTGAGAGCAGGAGACGTCCTCTTCAGAGCAGGAACCAGAGATGTCTACTTCAGAGCCTGGAGGCGTCGACCCTTGAACTGGAGGCTCGTGGAAAGGCTGAACCGGAGCCCCTTGGACGGAGTGGGCCAGAGCCCCTTGGACGGGCTGGGCCAGAGCCCCTTGGACGGGCTGGGCCGGAGCCCCTTGGACGGGCTGGGCCGGAGCCCCTTGGACGGGCTGGGCCGGAGCCCCTTGGACGGGATGGGCCGGAGCCCCTTGGACAGGCTGGACCGGAGCCCCTTGGACAGGCTGGACCGGAGCCCCTTGGACAGGCTGGACCGGAGCCCCTTGGACAGGCTGGACCGGAGCCCCTTGGACAGGCTGGACCGGGACCGGGGCCTCTTGGACCTCATCCGTCGAAGCAGGATGCGATGCGTCCACCGGGACCACCACCGAGACAGGATGCGATGTGTCCTCCGGGACCACCACCGAGACAGGATGCGATGCGTCCCCCGAGACCACCGCCAGAGCAGGATGCGATGCGTCCTCCCGGACCACCGCCAGAGCAGGATGCGATGCGTCCTCCCGGACCACCGCCAGAGCATGATGCGATGCGTCCTCCCAGACCACCGCCGAGACAGGATGCGATGCGTCCTCCCAGACCACCGCCTAGACAGGATGCGATGCGTCCTCCCGGGACCACCGCCAGAGCAGGATGCGATGCGTCCTCCCGGGACCACCGCCAGAGCAGGATGCGATGCGTCCTCCGGGACCACCGCCAGAGCAGGATGCGATGCGTCCTCCGGGACCACCGCCAGAGCAGGATGCGATGCGTCCTCCGGGACCACCGCCAGAGCAGGATGCGATGCGTCCCCCGGGACCACCGCCGAGGCAGGTTGCGATGCGTCCCCCGGGACCACCGCCAGAGCAGGTTGCGATGCGCCCTCCGGGACCACCGCTGAGGCAGGATGCGGTGTGACCTTCGGGACCACCGCTTGGACAGGATGCGGCGCGACCTTCGAGACCACCGCTGGAGCAGGACAGATGGAGGCGGGACCCCTGCTGGACATGGATGTGGTGCGGACCCTGGGACCACCGCTGGACATGGATGCGATGCGACCCCGGGAACTACCGCTGGACCTGGACAGGCGGAGCCTCTCGGACAGGCGAAGGTGGAATCTCTGCTGGACGAGGATGTGGTGTGACTCCTGGGACCACCGCTGGACGTGGACGCGATGCGCCCCCTGGGACCACCGCTGGACGTGGATGCGATGCAACCCCTGGAACCACCAATGGACCGGGGCAGGTGGAGCCTCTTCAAAAGGCGGAAGTAGGAACCCCACTGAGCGTGCATGCGGTGAGACTCCTGGGACCACCGCTGGACGTGGATGCGGTGCGCCTCCTAGGACCACCACTGGACATGGACGCGGTGCGCCTCCTGGGACCACCGCTGGACGTGGACGCGGTGCGTCTCCAGGGACCACTGCTGGACGTGGACGGGACGGAGGGACTCGAGGCTTGAGCGGTGTAGCAGCAAAACCTTGCGTCTGTGAAGGCCACGAAGTAGTAGAAGGTCTTCCGGACTGCCACTGTTGCGTTGTCAGGTACCCGTTGCGCAAGACGGCCGCAGCAGGCCTGGACTGAGGAGTGGAACCTCTGCGTGGCTGTGGCCTGATGGCCAGCCGCGTTCCCCAGAACGGTGACACCTGCTCCTTCTCTAGTTCCATGAAGTCCAGGAGCGTGAGATACTCCATGGCACGTATGAAGAGAGAAAAAAATACTCCCAAGTGCTGTGTCGGCGTAGGGTCAGAATTTGGCCAGATTATTCTGTCACGCACTGAACTCTGAAGACCCGTGAAGACGCCAAACACAGTAAAAATATATAAAAAAGTCTTTATTCAAGGCAGAGGTACCTGGAGGGCAAGGCTGAGGCAGGTTCAGAGACAGACAAGGTCCAAATGGCAGGCAGTGAGCAAGGCAGGGGTCAGGAGAAAAACGAGGTCTGGAGGCTGAGATCAGGCAGGGTGGATGGCTGGAGAATTACTGGCAGGGCTGTAATAATCTGGCATCTGTTGACTGGATGGCTGTTTCTTTTATAGCAGGGGAAGCAGGTGTATGGGATGAGGCTCATTACAGGAGCAGGTGGAATGAATGGAGCTGATTGAAGCTGACAGAGGTTGCTGGGGAAAGCAGGGCTTGGCTGGAGCTTGGTGAGAGGACAAGGTGAGCTGAATGAGGAGGAAATGATAAGGCAGATGAGGGTAAAGGATGGGAGTCATGACACATATCACGTCTCTTTATTTCACAATAAAGTTTTATGCTGGAAAACTTTCCTGAAACTCAGTCCATCTTTTTTCTTCAGTCCACATAAACGGCACATTAAGAGCTTTTAATCTAAAACATTAACATATTACCAATTTGTTGACCTTATTGCTGGAGCAACACCTCTGTATCCTTAGGTATTAACATAGGAGAAACAAACATGACTCTCTATAAGAGTATAGGGAAGTTACAGAATTTTCATCTGCATTCAAACAGTAATATCCCAATTACCAGAGGAGGAAAGAGTACTAAAATTTCCTACTTAAGTACGAGTACCAATACTTTGATAATTTTTTACTCAAGTACAACTAAAAGTACTTGCCTAAATTTTTACTCAAGTAAAAGTAAAAAGTATTGTAAACAAAATGTATTCAAAGTAAAATTTACTTAGTTACATTTTTGTCAGCGTAAAGATGGCTACATGTAAGTAGAGCAAAATCACAATGCCAGTTCACAATTCACTCGTGTGCATGCACACACACACACACACACACACACACACACACACACACACACACACACACACACACACACACACACACACACACACACACAGTTTGATGGAGGGATTTCTGTCCAATCAGTGAGAACAGGACGTCCACATTGATTGGACGAGGTTTTTCCTAGGATTGTAGGTTCCAATTGTGATTAAAATTATTCTTTAATTTGAAAAAAATTATATATTTTTAGATGCCATCAGCATGTGAGGTATCTCAATGTTCTCATGACAAAACTCTAACATGAGACTGTGCTCTAACCTGTCACATAACGAGCTAAATGAAAGTCAAACATTTCAGATGGACCGTATGACAGCTGCTAACGTTGGCCCTGCCCTACTTTACCTCTACATTACAGTTCCTTTATCCATGTCCATCCTAGAGCTCCTCTCTGACCTTCATGCTTATTTAGAGCAGCTGATTTTTAAAGTTAGCAGAGTTCATCCTGGGTAGTGGGTTCACTCACTCATAGGCGTCATTTTAACCGGGGACGCCGGGGACATGTCCCCGGCAAAATTTGTGATTGACAGCTGTGTCCCCCCCACTTTAAAAAATGCCTGCTGATGAGGATTTTTGTTTTACCAGCTCAGATCTTATACCAGGGGTCGGCAACCTGTTCCCATCAAAGAGACATTATTACCCGTTTCCCACAGTAAAGAAAACACCGCAGCAGCCGCTGCGTTGTGGGCGGGGCCTACCCTCAGACAGCAGAGAGCTGCTCACAACCAGGTGACAGCAGCCGCTACCGGTCGCTCGCATGAGCGTCGCATCCGTGGGGGATTCAACACCCACACTTTTCCAGCTGTTTTGCTCACCTCCACACCAGTCTGGTTTCTTTACGTCGCACTCACTCTGTTTGCCTCATCTCCTTCTTCACCTCCGCTTCTGACAGCCGATGTCGGGTTTCCAGGAGAGCAGGAGAGGGAGGGACGGAAGAGCTCGACTGAATTCATAATTTTACATCTTGACATTAGCTGTACAAAGTCTGAGTTTGATAACGTGAAGAACAACAATTTGCAAAGGTTTATAACAGGCGCGGCGCCAGGTTTTCATTTTTGGGTGGGCCACGGTAATTCTGGACGAACCTTAATAAGCAGTGACTTAGTGAAGCAGGCAGGTCGCGCTGGAAAATTTAGTTTAAAAAGACGTCATAAATGTTTTCCCCGTCATTTTTATTTCTAAAATATGAAGTAAAAACTCCCAGTTTAATTTTCATTCATTTTTCATTAATGTGTAGTCTACACCCGTGCGTTAAGTGGACCATCTTCCAGTAAAACAAAGCATCCAGCCCATCTCTCCAAATGCGTAAAATGTGCATCAGCCGCTAGTTAGGCGCGCCGCACGCACCATCAGCTCCGTCAGCCCAGACAAGAGCAGAGCAACTACAGACAGAATAGAGGATAATTGTGTCTGGATGTGGATGGAGATTACATTTTACAGCAGCCTGATCATCATTTAAATACATAAACTATCACCTGTCTTCTAGTCCACGCTATCAGCATTATTTTAATTGGTGTGTGTGTGTGTGTGTGTGTGTGTGTGTGTGTGTGTGTGTGTGTGTGTATGTGTTTTCCACTTCAAACACTGGTCTAACCAACCAGACCAGCGTGTCCAGTAACATATTAATGTTACACTTCATGTAGGCTAGGAACATTTCACCTGCCGTGGCCCGACCGCTTCTGCTCCACATAAACTTTGTGCGTAATCAAATGTCTCTACAGGTGCTTTATGAGCTGAAGAGCTATTCTGCCTCAGACTGGATGCGTAATGCATCTCCATATTAGAGAAGGGAACAAGCGCTGTTCAGCCAAAGTTTCATAATTTCATAAAAAGAACATTTTTCCAAGTGACACATCCCTCAGAGAGACCGGGTTTCCAGAACGCTTCAGTGGGAGGAAATCTTATGGCATGCACCGTGGTTCTGCGCTGCGCTGCGAACCCCAGATCTTCTGTCCACCGTGGGCGCTCCGAGCCGCGCTGAACACAGTGTCCAGCATAAAGCTCTGATGTTCTGATGAGAATCAAGTTACCTCTGCGATGTGCGTAACGATTAAAATGTCAGCTCATCCATGCGCATCAGTGTGCTTCGGGGTAATTCTTTCAAAACAACCAACATCCTTGAATTTATCCGTCAATATGTGGCAAGGCGGAGAAACGAGGGCCCGGGCGGGATTCGATCCCCAGAGTCCCAGGTGAAAGTCATACGCTCTAACCAGTCAGCCAAAGGGACATCCCCTTTTCCAAGTAGCCAGGGCGCATGATCTATCGGGACACTGTGACAGGACACTCACACTGCCACACCTGATTATGAAACTTTGGCTGAATAGTGCTTGTTCCTGTCTCCAATGTGGCGACGCATCCAGGAACCTGTCTGAGGAGAATCCCAGAATCTGACATCCTCCAGCTCAGGAAGCGCCTATGATTACGCACAAGCGTGACGCGTCAACCCGGTCTCACAGTAAGACCGGGTTGGACCTGTTCAGGTTTACGCAGACAATCTTTACATTTAGAATTAGCTTACAGATGTAAAATTAATGCAGTAAAATATAAAGCATTTTATTTAAATATCCATTCATTATTTTACAAGCACAGAGAGCCGCATCAGATGCATGGAAGAGCCGCATGCGGCTCCAGAGCCGCGGATTGCCGACCCCTGTGCTAGCCAACTTTATTGTCCCCAGCAATTTTTAAACCCCACTCAAGTGTATGGTTATTGTCCCCAGCAATTCTGGAAACAAACTGACGCCCTTGCACTCACTCATTTAACCCTTCACCACTGAAATCAGTTTGTTCATTCCAATCCTCCTAAATAATCCTCCAATCATCCAACTGGTATCCTTAAGGGTCCCGTAACGTCCATCCTGTCAGAACAGGCCTTGGGAGCCCAGGTGTTACTAGAACTAATGGTGTCTCCTCACCAGCGTGAGCCTCCAAACTGTGAAGGTTGGTCTCCAAACATGAACTTTAAATTCATGCATTTATCTCCTCTTGTAGCACTTTAACATGTTTTAAAAGGCTTGTATCATGATAAGTTACACCTCCCAGACCAAAGATAAGATAAAACATTATCATAGACACTGTAGAGACGTCATTATTTATTTATGTTATTTTCCTGAGCCATTACTTCAGCCAAGATATAGGATGCATGGATTTGATGAAACCATGCTGTCTCATGCAGTCCAATATGTGTAACACACACACACACACACACACACACACACACACACACACACACACACACAAAGCAACTTAACCCTCTGATGCATGAATTAAGAACAGTGCCACTTTCACATTCAGTATTCCTCAGTCATGTGCAGTGATGCTTTTCATTATTTTTAATGTTACTGGACTTTTTATTTTATTGATCTTTTTTTAATCTGTTCTATGAAAACCTGAATAAAATTATCAAAAACAGGTGGAAGTGAGTGCATCCATGGGGAATATTTGAAAAGACTTATGTCTCACTCTCAGGTGTTCTTCAGCATCAAATAAATTGTAGAACATGAGGAAGAAGAACCGGTGATCTGAGGCACTCTGAGGATTTCATTTATTAAACAAGGAAACACCGACGTGTTTCTGTACCACCTTCTTCAGGACATAAACCTTTCTGCCCTGAAGATGACTCACTAATGTCACAAAAACTAATGTCCATCCTTTTTTACAAATTTACAGTCTAACTGGCAACAACATCTTAAGGAGACAATTTCAGATGTGTATGTTCAGATTATTTAATATTCTCAATGCTAAATCAATGCTGCACTGACTGTGCCAAAAACAAGTGTCTGGTGTGGATTTAAATAAATTAATTTTGCATATCGATATACGTGATAAGCCGTTTAATTTGAAAAAGTCCGTTTCTACTGCTGATTACAAATAGCCTAACAAGTAACTTACTCACCTGGTTCTAGATGCTGAGACTGTAGCTCAGTAAATGTGCTGCTGCTGCGTGATGCCTGGATAGAAGACGCTGCAGCGTAAACAAGAAAGAGACGAAATAAGATCTCATGCTGTGTTTAGGCAGTTCTCACTCCCCGCCGGGCCCGGCGGCAGCGGGGAAGTCCCCGCCACGGCCGCGGCGGCGCCGCCCGCCCGATGTGTCGGACAAAGTTGCAATTTTGCTACACCCACACCTAATGTTCTTCTGATATACAAATATTAAATTCATATTGTATGCGTACTTAAAACTTGAATCGAAGTTCATAAAAAGGCTGCGATCATACTCCAAAAACCAGTAAAAAAATCTTACATTCTTCATCATCACAGTGAGCCTCAACAGGTGTAGAAGACAGTCCCGCCCCCGTGGTGTCAACAGGTGCCTGTCATGGCTGCAGATATTGTCTCACTGCATCTGGACACGACGATTCAAAAGTAAAATTAATTGGTTAAAGTTATGAGATACTGTATTATGAATGTAAACAGCTAGCGAGGGTCCGTCCGTGGACCGTGCGTGGCAGGAGAGGCAGTTAGCTACAATGGTAACGCAAAAAATTCCTTTGCCAAATTTATAAAGTCTACATACCTCTGCTTTGGGCCCGTTTTTTTTCTTCCTCCTTCCGTCGCTTTCGGAATGCTGATCCCGATGGCTTAGGTGTTCTGTTTATCGTAAAAGATATCAAAAGTTTAAACGCGACAACTGGATGTCCTACAGTGCTGCCCTCGCACGTGATCTACGGCACCCTTAACGGTCAAATGCTTCGGAGCGGTGGCCCAAGCGGGAGCTCGTCATGCAGCCAGATCATTAGAATTTAAATATTGATGTTTTCATTTCATGTCATTTCAGAGGGGAATTTTGAGTATGTAGAGAGTGCATTTCATATAACAAACATACATTTAATAAACTTTTTTTAATTTTTTTTATTTTGCACCCTATCCATCAGATGGCACCCCAGGCGGCCGCCTGTGTCACCTGTCGGCAAAGCCGGCCCTGCAGCCAACAGTAAGTTTACTTCTACTCCTTAACCATTTTCAAAACACATTTTAACTGAGACACGTCATATCACACTTTCAGAGTTCTTTTAGAGTGTTTTTAACCTAACACTAACCTGCGAGATATGAAGAAATGTCAACAGCAATGACATACACCAGTGCATCGTTTCATGTCCGTATCGCGTCTGATGCGAGGGGCGGACAGTGTTGCCAACTGTTTTTGACTGGAAGTAGCTGAAGTTCCCCCCAAAAGTCGCTAGATGTCGTCATGTGACGTCACGTGCTAATTTACATATTGATTACGTCATCACGCCTTATTGGCGTTCATTTTCCCCATAGCATCTAAAAGATATACTAAAAGGGAGGAAAATAACAAAAACTATGTTATGTGTTAAAGTTATTAATTAGTATGATTGAAATGGCCCAAATTGCTTTGATATGTAACATAAATCCCAAAAGTACCAATAAAGCGACATTAAGACGGATATGGTGTGGTGATCCAAACAGTTTTGTTGTAGGATACAACTCAGACCTTCTGCTCTCCTCATTCTCACAGCCATTTTCCTAAAAAGCAGTTTTTTTACACCTCATAGTTTCTCAACTTCTCTGTTGTGCATTCTCTCCATCGTTATTATAACGGCGCACAGAGCAACAGGGAGTGGGTGTCTCATGGTATAACCATCCCTGTGTCTGAAGGAAATTCAGATGAGCCACAGAGCTGCGTGTGTAAACGGGACAGTAGTTGAGAGTCCCGTTGAATTTTTTTGCCAAATGCAGGAAAAGCCAAAGTGTCTGACGGCTGCAGAACCAGACATCGCAGGTTGACGCCTGCGCCGTCTCTAGTAGAAGCGTGAGCCTGCAGCAGCAGCAGACGTAAATCGGCAGACTCAGCCTCTGCAACTGTACCGTGTCGGTGAATCAGACCGGCCGAAAACGGTTTATGATTGGTCAGTCCTCATGCACATGTGCAGATTATCGTTCTCTTTCCTTACTCCCGGAAGAACAGTTCAGAGTGCAAACGGTTTCTTTGTTGCTAATCTGTAGGGAATATCTACAAGAAAGTTCTACAGAAAGTAGCTGTCGCTAGGTTTGTCACTCCTGACACGTAAAATTATCTAAACCATTTCTCATCCCCCAACAGTTACACTAAAGATACCTTTCAAAACCATGCACTTTGTTCAGTAACTGGATGTATGGTAAAAGCCTTGCAGATATACACAATGACTGGGTGGAAATATGGATGGAGGCTGAAAGGGGAAACAGTGAGCCTGTGGTTGGTGTTGCATCTGGCCAGGTCTTTTCTCTCTAGTAGAACGTCTTAGCACAGGTGGGTGATCTTCATTGTTTTAAGATATCTCTTGGGGATTCTGCTCTCCTTGTGACTCTGATCCATCATCCTGCTCTTCTTGGAGTTCTCCCACAACACTTTTTCTTTCAGATGCAGAGCCAACTGCGCTTGTCCTCTCAAAGTGGGGTTTTGGTGCAGCGTGGTCCTGAGTCCTGCTGGGGTGTATTAGGTGTGAGTGCTTGCCTCGAAATTCGAAGCCAGTATTGTGGTGCTACAGCTTCCTCATCTGAATCACTGGTTTCAGTGTCACAAGTCTTTTGAACATCAATAGGTTTCACCTGCCTTAGGTTTTGCTTTCCTTGTTTCGGTTGGTTTTTAGCAGGTGGTTCCACAGGTAGGTCATTCCCTTGGAGCAGCAAGTTTCTGTGAAGTGTGCAAACAGGACAACCTCCTATCTCTGGGCTCACCTTGTAGACTGGATTGACACCTAGTTGCTCTCTGATAATATAAACTTTTCTCTCCCAATAGGGGTTTGGTTTGCATTGCCCTCCTCTCTCCATCAGATTTCTTACTAAGACCCTGTCACCTGGCTGTAAAATCACTCCTCTGCTGCTTCGATCATAGTATTGTTTTCCCTTTGCACTGGACTGCTGACTGTTGTCACTGGCTATCTTGTATGCCTCTGCCATTTTCTTTGCCCACTTTGCAGCATAACTTTAAAGCATAACTTTATCAGCAGCAGTCTTGCCAGCTTTGTTCTTGGTGGGGTATGCTTGCGCAAACCTCGTGAAGTGATCAACTATCACAAGAATGTACTCATACTCACCACGGCTGGCTTCAAGATGCAGGAAATCGATGCAAACAAGTTCAAGAGGTGAGGATGATGTTAAGCTCCCCATCGGCATAGCAGGTTTTTTTTTTGCATCACACAGCGACACTTGCGAGTGATATATTCTTTGATGTCTTTTTTCATTAAAGGCCAGAAAAATCTTTCTCTTGCCAAGTTCAACCCTCGTTCAACACCAACATGTCCCATGTTGTCGTGAAGGTGGGTCAGAACTGTCTGCTTGTAGCTGCTTGGCAACACTAACTGCTTTCGACCCAAAACTTTTCTCCACAAGAGATCATTTTCAACATGCAGTTTACTCCATGCTCTTGCTAGCTTCCTTGTTGGTTTCTCCAGCCCTGGGTTCTTTTCTTTAAATTCAAAAATCATTCCAATCACTGGATCTTTATGTTGTTCTTCTATCAGATCACTATGGTTAATCGCTGGGAATGACTTGGTGGGGTTTGGGTTTTGGGAAGAGATGTTAAGAGCTGCGACCCAGGCAACTTCTTTCTCATGAGCTAGTCTGCTACCTGCCCATGCAGTACACTTGCCGCCTCCTCAGACAATGTCTCTGAACACTGATTCATGTAGGCACCGATGTCGAGTGGACAAAATGTGAAAGCATGTCAGCATCCACATTTAACTTGCCTGGCTTGTATTTTATTTCAAAATGGAAGTCCGCCAGTTCTCCCACCCAGCGATGACCTACTGCATTTATCTTGGCCGTGCTTAATATGTAGGTCAACGGATTGTTGTCTGTAAATACAATAACATGTGGTGCGTAAAACAGGTAGTCCCTGAATTTGTCGCACACTGCCCACTTCAAGGCCAAGAACTCCAGTTTACCACTGTGAAGATGGTAATTTTGTTCTGCTGGTGTGAGTGTGCGTGAGCCATAGCCAATCATTCTAAGCTTCTCATCTTGCTTCTGATACAGAACAACTCCAAGGCCTTGCTGTGAAGCGTCAGTATGAAGTATAAATGGAAGGTTAAAGTCTGGGTATGTGAGTACTGGTGGGCTGGTGAGAATGGTTATAAGATGTTCAAGGGCCTGCTGGTGTTCCTGGTTCCACTCTACAGAGGTTCCTGATGGCAACTGAGGGCTCTTAGATTTCCCTCCTGATGGCTTTTTTTGTGTGAAGTGGATTTCCCTTGGAGTATATCATACAAGCGTCGGGCTATGCGTGAGAAGTCCTCTACATAGGCTCAAAAGTAGCTCAAGAAACCAAGAAGTTTCCTAACTTCTCCAACAGTCTTCGGGGCCTTCTCCTTCAGTGCCTGTACTGCCTCAATATCCTTAGAATATACTCTGACCCTATCTTTGGACACCAGATACCCAACATATCTCACTTCCTTTCGAAAGAGCTCACACTTTTCCGGTCTCACCTTTACTGCACTGCAAAGCTTGTAACTCACTGCACAATACTTCCACATGCTCCTCAAAGGACTTAGAGAAGCATAGGACATCGTCCAGATATTGTATGCAACATTCATCCCGCAATGTGCCAAGCATCACCTCCATGCTTCTTTGGAAAGCAGCTGGTGCTTTTGAAAATCCAAAGGGGATCCTGACCCATTCATATAAGCCCCAGGGAGTTGTGAAAGCAATTAGATGCCTTGAGCACACTGATATAAACCCATGGTGGTAAGCTTTGCCCTGGTCTAGAATTGAAAATCAGGCATAGCCACCAAGTGAATCTATCAGGTCCTGTATGCGGGGAAGAGGATGCTGGTCGGGCACAGTCTTTCTATTCAGTTGGCGATAGTCAATACACAGCCTGAGCGACCCATCCTTCTTCCTCACACAGAAGATGGGTGCTGCATAGGGCGAGTGAGACTTTACAATCCACCCTTTCACCAACAAGTCTTCTATAGACTCCTTGACTTCCTTGTACATCGGCTTTGGAAGCATACACTTTTTGCTGTTTACTCTGTCAGTCTAATTGACATTTTGAGGGATGGGATGCATCCAATGTCGTTGTCATCATTGGCAAATGCTGCAGATTGTTCAAAGAGCATTTTCTTGACCACCTGTTGCTGTTCGGGGTTGAGGTGTGAAATGTCAACGGGTGATAGCCATGGCTCAGGTGAGGTTGTGGTGGGGTTGGTGGTTCTAACACCTACACTCACCTGACTAGCTGCTGTCTGTTCTTTGTTCTGGTCCTCATTTCGTCTCAATTCTATGACCTTTGTGATGTACTGGATAGAGCCCACTTATGATCTCCTCGGGATAACAATATCATGCTTATTGTGGTTAGAGATAGGTAGGGTAATGAGAGGCCACTTACTCCTGTTCACCTCTAGAAGACCCTCTCCCACACTCAGTCACTCCATCGTGGTACTGTCCGAAGGTTCGTAAAAGATTACAGGATCAGATGTATCAAATGATGGAGGTACTCTGCACCGCACATTAACTGTCTTGCCAGCTGGAATGTTCACATCCTCTTTTCCCACTCGGATTGCAGCAATCCTGTCATCTAAGTTTTCCCGAGTCCGAATGAAGCAGACAATAGCTTGTACCTGGTCAACCTCTACACCAAGGGTCTTCTGGAGAAGGTCAATGACCATGGTGACTGAGTCTCCGGAGGACTCTCTCCGGCTGATCATCTCTTGAAGTACATTGGACCCTAGCAAGGGCTGGGGAAGGGGGAGCTGGCTGACCAGGAAAGGAACCTGTATTGCCAATTCTGGACTGTTATTTCCTGGAAGGTTGACTGTCAGCTCCACCCATCCATCATACTGTATGGTCTGTCCATTTGCAGCATACAGGTCTAAACTTTCCCCAGAGCCAAAGAGGTCTTTCAGAGGTCGCACTGGGTGAATGGGGATAAATGTCTCTCTCCAGATCCTGTCAATAATGCTCACTTGTGACCCAGTATCAAATAACACCATCACTGCATGGCCACTGATGTAACAGTTCAGCAAACTCTGCAAACGGATGATCTCTGCCTCAGTGAAACTCTCTCGAAGCCCCTCCTCTATTAGTCTGGAGATGTTGTTGTAAGCGATGTCACAGTTTTTATCTCCAATTTGCCCTCCATGCACCTTAAATTCTCTGCGCTGTAGGTATGGGAGGTCCTTTAGGGTTACTATCCTCTTGGCTTCTTGTGATGGCGGATGGAGCTGTTGGAAACCACTTGTGCCCTGATGCAGTGTACCTGTCATGTCTTTCCACTGTTGCAACTTTTTACTTAGTTCCTCATGGAGTAACTGTAGTTGGTCCACCCTATGAGTGTAAGCTCTAGAATTATGGTGTTGTGTGGGAGGGGGTGCAATGGTGACTGTTTGGGGATCTGAGATTTGATCTATATGAATGTGGCTCTTATCCTGTGCAATGTGCTCAGCTGATCTAATGGATATGTCTGTGGACATTTGTTTGGGTTGTCAAATTATCCTCATGACCAGTTAAGGCAGAGCATTCAATTACATTACACACCAAGTCATTTAACATCAACAGCTGACTCATACCTTCATCTTCAGATTTAAGTAATGACTCTGACTGCATGTAGTCCAGAATGAAGTCTATACAGTCTTCTTCATCACCCGCAGCCACACGCTCCACTTCATTGATGTCCGCTGCACTGTCTTTGGCCGGTCTGTAAACATCTCTCCCAGACAGCTTAAACAAGTTCGTCTTGATGCTCCACACTAATTGCTTACGAGGTGTAGACATGATATGTTCTGCCTACTTCCACAGCAGTGTGACTCCCTCAGATAGATGAAGACCCTGCTCTGGCTCCACCCACTCCTTCTGGACGTCCACTGGTTGTGGTCACGGCCTCACGTTGTCCTGATGGTTCTGGTATCAGATAGACTGGTGGAGGCAGATCCCGGACAAGCCCCCAAAATGTGTTACCGGTCCCAAGAATGGTACCACAGCAACAAAGTTCGCATCTGCGGGATATGAAGAAATGTCAGCAGCAATGACAGACACCAGTGCATTGTTTCATGTCCATATCACATATGTGTGTGTGTGTGTGTGTATATATATATGTATATATATATATATATATATATATATATATATATATATATATATATATATATATATATATACAGTGGGGCAAAAAAGTATTTAGTCAGCCACCGATTGTGCAAGTTCTCCCACTTAAAATGATGACAAAGGTTATTAATTTACATCATAGGTACACTTCAACTGTGAGAGACAGAATGTGAAAAAAAAATCCATGAATTCACATGGCAGGATTTTTAAAGAATTTATTTGTAAATCGGGTGGAAAATAAGTATTTGGTCACTTCCAACAAGGAAAATCTCTGGCTCTCACAGACCTGTAACGTCTTCTTTAAGAAGCTTTTCTGTCCTCCACTCGTTACCTGTATTAATAGCACCTGTTTGAAAACATTATCTGTATAAAAGACACCTGTCCACAGCCTCAAACAGTCAGACTCCAAACTCCACTATGGCCAAGACCAAAGAGCTTTCGAAGGACACCAGGAAAAGAATTGTAGACCTGCACACGACTGGGAAGAGTGAATCTACAATAGGCAAGCAGCTTGGTGTGAAAAAATCAACTGTGGGAGCAATTATCAGAAAATGGAAGACATACAAGACCACTGATAATCTCCCTCGATCTGGGGCTCCACGCAAGATCTCATCCCGTGGGGTCAAAATGATCATGAGAACGGTGAGCAAGAATCCCAGAACCACACGGGGGTACCTGGTGAATGACCTGCAGAGAGCTGGGACCACAGTAACAAAGCTCATCATCAGTAAAACACTACAACGGCAGGGAATCAAATCCTGCAGTGCCAGACGTGTTCCGCTGCTGAAGCTAATGCATGTCCAGGCCCGTCTGAAGTTTGCCAGAGAGCACATGGATGATACAGCAGAGGATTGGGAGAATGTCATGTGGTCAGATGAAACCAGAGTAGAACTTTTTGGTAAAAACTCAACTCGTCGTGTTTGGAGGAAGAAGAATACTGAGTTGCATCCCAACAACACCTACCTACTGTGAAGCATGGGGGTGGGAACATCATGCTTTGGGGCTGTTTTTCTGCTAAGGGGACAGGACGACTGATCTGTGTTAAGGAAAGAATGAATGGGGCCATGTATTGTGAGATTCTGAGCCAAAACCTCCTTCCATCAGCGAGAGCTTTGAAGATGAAACGTGGCTGGGTCTTCCAACACAACAATGATCCCAAACACACCGCCCAGGCAACAAAGGAGTGGCTCCGTAAGAAGTAGAGCCCTGCACGGGCCTAAAATCTGAGCCCGTGTCCGGCCCGGCCCGAGGGGGTGGAGCCCCAGCCCGACCCGGCCCGAAAAGGTTTTCAGGATTCTCTGGCCCGGCCCGAGCCCAAGCCCGACTTTTTTTAACCAACTAAATGAAAACAAAGTGCGTCAATCCTGACCAATGTGTTAAAAGATGTGCAGGATCCGAGCGTCGCAGAAGCGCATGCGGGAAGCTTCCTCCCACTGAAGCGAGTGTTTTCCAAACCCGGTCTCTCAGAGAGACTTGTCACTTAGAAAATGTTCCCTGATTATGAAACTTTGGCTGAATAGTGCTTGTTCCTGTCTCCAATGTGCGACACATCCAGGAGCCGTCTGAGGAGAAGCCCAGAATCTCACATCCTCTTCAGCTCATGAGCGCATATGATTACGCACAAGCGTGACCCAACACGGTCTCACAGTAAGACTGGGTTGGAACTGTTCAGGTTTACGCAGACAATCTTCACATAGAATTGACTTACAGATATAAAATTAATTCAGTAAAATATAAAGCATTTTATTTAAATACCCATTCATTATTTTACAAGCACATCGGCAGATGGATGGAAGAGCCGCGGGTTGCCGATCCCTGCTCTAGTTCAAGATATCATTAAAATTCCAAAAGTGCTGAAAAGATTAAAAATGGGGCTTTCCGTGCATATACAATACATTACAGTATCCACCGGGATTTCCTGTCTTGAGCGCAACGAATCACAACACAGATTCAGAGACGTGCGAGTTTGTCATCCAAAATGCTCCGTTTTATAACTTTTGAATGGTTGATCAGATTCAAATAATTCCAACGGTCCCTAAAAGTACATAAAAGCAGCTTTCCAACGGTCTATAGCATGAAGCAATCAGAGTTAGAGAAAATATCGCTACGAGGGGAACTCCTGCTGTACAGCCTGATTGAAAATGACATGTTGAGGACGCAAACTCAATACATCTCTTTTATTGTGAGGTAATAATTTCTCCGAGTTTTGCGGTTGCGGGCGGGAGTAGACATGCACGCTGCAGGTGTGGGCGGGAGTAGACATGCACGCTGCAGGTGCGGGCGGGAGTAGACACGCTGCAGGTGCGGGCGGGAGTAGACACGCTGCAGGTGCGGGCGGGAGTAGACATGCACGCTGCAGGTGCGGGCGGGAGTGTAACACACACATTGCGGTTGCAGGCTGTAATGGTCAGAAATTCAGCGGGAGCGGAGCGGGATGAAGAAAACAGTCCCGCACAGGGCTCTACTGCTGCGTTTAAGTGTTTTAATTTTTTTAATGATTTCGAATACAAATAAAGGCGCCCGGCCCGGCCCGTGTCCAAGGTAATTACACAGTCGTTGGCCCGAAGCCCGGCCCGAGGGCCGTCGGGCCGGGCCGACCCGAGGGCCTAGGGCTTCAGTGCAGGGCTCTAGTAAGAAGCATTTGAAAGTCCTGGAGTGGCCTAGCCAGTCTCCAGACCTCAACCCCATAGAAAATCTGTGGAGGGAGTTGAAAGTCCGTGTTGCTCTGCGACAGCCCCAAAACATCACTGCTTTCGAGAAGATCTGCATGGAGAAATGGGCCAAAATACCAGCTATTGTGTGTGCAAACCTGGTAAACCTGGTTGGGCCTCTGTTATTGCCAACAAAAGTTATGTTACAACGTATTGAGTTGAATTTTTGTTATTGACCAAATACCTATTTTCCACCCTGATTCACAAATAAATTCTTTAAAAATCCTGCCATGTGAATTCGTGGATTTTTTTCACATTCTGTCTCTCACAGTTGAAGTGTACCTATGATGAAAATTACTGACCTCTGACATCATTTTAAGTGGGAGAACTTGCACAATCGGTGGCTGACTAAATACTTTTTTGCTCCACTGTATATATATATATATATATATATATATATATATATATATATATATATATATATATATATATATATATATATATATATATATATAATTTATTTATTTATATAGATATATATTAGGGCCGTGACTTGATTACAAATTTTTATCTAATTAATTAAAGGCTTTGTAATTAATTAATCTAAATTAATTGCATATAGATATTTGACCTGAGAACAGTAAGCATTTTTCTCACATAGATTTTTAGTTTACCATTAAATTATGTCTGTTTACATATAAGCTTAAGCAACAAAATATTGTTTATTTTTGTTCAACCAAGTCCAACAGACCAGTGCATTACTGTAAGTGTAAATAGCATATTTAGAAATATAGTTGCCTACATTTCAGAAATTCAGGGACCCCTTTAGGTAGGTAGACCTTCTGTAAACAGTTTTTTAAGTAAAACATAATACTTTCAAGTATATTCAGAACATTGTAAACCCTGAATATTACTGTAGAAAACAAATCTCTGCGGCTTCGGAGGCCAAAACAGACTTTGTTGATTAACCAACAGCTGGTTTAAAGAAAATAAATTTCTCCAAAAGACTGTGCCAAAAATGCCCTGAAGCGTAGACAAATACGGCATATTGAGATATATACATATATATACATATGACATGCCGTTCAGGAAATTATTATATATTTATACCTGAATACTTCTGAATATATGGACTGAACTCTGAATATATGGACCGAAGTCTGAATATGTGGACTGAAAGTCTGAATATATGGACTGAAGTCTGAATATATGGATTGAAAGTCTGAATATATGGACTGAAGTCTGAATATATTGACTGAAAGTCTGAAAATATGGACTGAAGTCTGAATATATTGACCGAAGTCTGAATATATGGACTGAAAGTCTGAATATATTGACCGAAGTCTGAATATATGGACTGAAGTCTGAATATATTGACTGAAAGTCTGAAAATATTGACCGAAGTCTGAATATATTGACCGAAGTCTGAATATATGGACTGAAAGTCTGAATATATGGGCTGAAAGTCTGAATATATGGACTGAAGTCTGAATATATTGACCGAAGTCTGAATATATGGACTGAAAGTCTGAATATACGGACTGAAAGTCTGAATATATTGACCGAAGTCTGAATATATGGACTGAAGTCTGAATATATGGACTGAAAGTCTGAATATATGGACTGAAGTCTGAATATATTGACCGAAGTCTGAATATATGGACTGAAAGTCTGAATATATGGACTGAAAGTCTGAATATATGGACTGAAAGTCTGAATATATTGACCGAAGTCTGAATATATGGACTGAAAGTCTGAATATATGGACTGAAGTCTGAATATATTGACCGAAGTCTGAATATATGGACTGAAAGTCTGAATATATGGACTGAAGTCTGAATATATGGACGATGGGTGGGGGGGGGGGGGTGGTGGGGGGGGGGGGTTCTGTCAGTCACTTCCTCTGCACCACAGCTCTGCTGATCCACCAGATGACATCTCCTTTAAGTGCATTTTTCAAACAGGAAGTGTGGGTGGATGTGATGCTAGGGGGGTGAATGACTCTTTAATATATCAGAAATGATCATTGTGTATATTGAGAAGGTTATTATGGATTATTTGGAATGTTTTTAACAGAAACAATAGATTTTTAGATATTTTGAATATATATCTTCCTAAAAACTGTTTAAACAGCCTGCCCTAAGCGGTGTGTAGATGTGCTCCTGCAGCACTAGTGATGGGGACACCTCTTTATATGTGAAACCATCAGCTGACTGACAGATGGTACAAACAATGCTTTT